TTTTTGTCTACTTTGAAGTTATTTTTTATGCAATTTCGTCTCGCCCCCACTGAACCAAAGTCCTGGGTCCGCCCCTGAACAGAATTGTAGATAAAAACATGCAAATTTAAATAATGAAACAATGTTAAAATTAGATGGGAAAAAATAAAGAGATAATTACATAATTATTCATGTCAAGTTGATTGGTTAAAGATTCTTCATATCAAAACAAAACAAATCATCAAAGTTTTCACGTTCAGAGAAGACAGAATTTAAAGAAGTTGCATTTTTTTTTTGTTTAAGAAGTTTAGTGTGAATTAATTATAATTATTGACCTCGCGAATTGGACCTCCACATGACCAATCGAGTATCACTCCACGTGTTCCTCCCCGCACACAACACAACACGGTCAGGAGCACACGATCGGAATCAACGAGGGTGGTGGCAGCCGCATATATTCCGACAATCAAGTCAGTGGTCGATGATCGGAACGGTGCCAAAATTGTGCAAGAGATTGGGGAGGAGAATATATAATGCTTGAATGTGGAGAGCTAAGTTTAGTATGAATTTCATTACCTTTATCTCTTGTTAAACCTTGAATATTTATAGACGAGGAGCACGTTGGATGTAGGACATGTGTATGCATCTGACGATGTGAAACGCATGCTCGTAGACGTCAATCAGCCTAGTCTAGAGTGGACGGGTTATTGATTCTCTTGAGTTTAGTTGACATAAAGTTGATGTCACATCAAATAGACCCATGGAGATGTCACATCCATAGAAGATCCTGACATAGATATGCTTCCAAAACTGACGGCGAAGGTATCTGTTAAGCGAGCACCTCGGAGAGCTAAGCGCTTTGATTACAGGGGGCGCTTAGGTTGTTTCAGTAGATTTAGTTTGTGATGTGTGCCTTGCGGTGAGTCAAATTGGAGTTTTGGCAAATTTGATATCACTTTTTCGGACCACTTCATAGGGACACGTGGTACACCGTAGAGGAGTGGAACAGGCGTGCCGAAGTGGTTTGGTAGGAGAAGTGCCGAGGTGTTTTGGTGTGGAGCGTATTTAAAATATATAATAATTTTTGAGAACTTGGGACTTATGAATTAAGAAGGAAAAGAATATATTCAATTAAATGTTCGAAGGAGCATAACCATAAATGTTCAAATGCATGTAAATGGAATTAATTTAATATAACAAAAAGACAACTATCAAGTTTATATATATATAAATTTTACATTGTTGGGCTGTGATGCCAGTCCAGTCCATTGTTTAGGCGATGATGAGAAAGTAGCCTTCGGCCCAATTACAATATACTTAACCTTGCCCAATAACTTCATTTGAGATGGCCCACTCCCATGACCCAAAATCAGCCCAATCTTGTGCGTTGCTCTGGACCGTAGGATGAAGATACAAATCTATGGTTGATTGTGTGTTACTATAAATATGCGTCTTCAACCCTAATTTGAGAGACTTTCATTCCTCTCTTTTTTCCAACCTTCTAGGTTTTTCTGTTTGTGTCTGTTCATCTTCTATGTTTGTGAGTTAATCATTTTCTCTTTGTGAGATCGATAATATGAGGGTTTTCCTTCTATGTGAGTATACTGAAAAATCTATTATTGAGTCCTTTGTGTTCGGTCCATTGAAGCAACCCGTAGATTTGGGACTTGTGAGGGTTCGGTGGTTGAGTTAGGGCATCCTTGATGATACAGAATGGTACAAGGATCTGAACCTAATTTGGTCATCAATCTTGATGTCCAGTGGTGTTAGTGAGTAGATTTTACAATGTATTTCTAGATCTGTAATTTTCTTGTAAAGAATTTCAAGTTAATATACAGAAATAAACATCCATCACATCTTAAAATCAGTAAAAATATAATTTAATAAGGAACAACATTGAGAAAAGTCGAAAGTTGTTTATTTCTTTTTCCAAGAAAAGTGCTTGTAAATAAAGTTTCAATAACTTGATATCTTGAAAACATTGATAATAAAACAGCAGTAAATAATCCCACGAACACACACAAAAACAGTTTACCACTATTCAAATAGACCGAACGATATCTTTAAAAAATCAAGTATAAATTGAAAATTGTGACAAATTTTTATATGATTGATACAAATAATGCATTTAGAAATATTTCTTGGCCTATAATTTTAAACCATAATGAACAAAATTTAATGGTAAATTGTGAGTTATATGTACAACCGCATGTATGCATATGTATCCTAACAAAAGTCTCACTTTCATCATCTACTTTTCTTGAATTCTCTGCGTTCTTTATTTGTTCACTGAATATACTTCTTGAATCAAGAATTCTCTATGTACTTTCCCAAAAATCTGATATCAAGATAAACAAACAAATTTTTGACATTTTTGCTCTCAATTCCGATCATAGGTGGGGGTATATGCCTCTCAAAACAAGCCTTCAATAGGGTACGTAAAAAGTTAAAGAATTCGATCGAGAATTGGTTCAAGATAAAGAAAAATGTGGAAGAAAAAAAAATTGTGATCAAGAATTAGATAAATAACAAAAGAAAAGCGTAGAAGAAAGCAAGAGAGAATAATGTTAGTTTGTGGGCAGTATTAATATGTAAAGGGAGAGGAGGGTAAGTAATAAGAAAACGGGAATAAACAAGTTAAGGGAACAAATCAGTGAGAAAGGATTAGATTAAGGTACAAAATTAGCAACAGAATTGCAGATAAGAACTTGCATATCCAATGGGAATTCAAATAAGGAAACAAATGCTAAAATTAGTTGGAAAAATAATCCAAAAACCAATGCCATCTTTAATTATGTTGCTTAATTTACATATTTTACTATAGAAATTATTATTAATAATAATAATAATAATAATAATAATAATAATAATAATAATAATAATAATAATAATAATAATAATAATAATAATAATATATTGTTTAATATAAAAGCAGGTGAATTAATTTTTTCAAAAAAAAGTTAAAAGACACGAATGAATTAGAGGAACAACAACATTAAAAAAACGTTACGAATAAATTAAAGACAGCTTTTAAAAAATGTTGTAAAAGAGTAGTGATAACATTTAAAAATGCTGCGAAAATTTGAAATTGCAAATAGGTTAAAGGCAAAGTTGAGAAAGTTTTGCAAAAAACTTAATAATAACATTTACAGAACGTTGCGAAAAAATTAATACAAGTTTTAGCAATATTTTTAAAGTGATGGTAATAATATTTTCGCAACATTTTTAAAACAGATGGGTGCAAATTTAAAACAGACGTATGCTCAAAATTACTATTTGTAATTGGGTGCAAATTTCGGAGCAGATGAATAGGCCACTAAATTTTTTCCTAAGAAAAAATAATAATTAGATAAAAGTGTTCGTTTTGATGACGTGTGATAAAATTGAAAGAAAATAGAAGAAAATAGATAAATCAGTAAACTTGTATGTATTATTAAGGACGAATACCCTATATTTATAAGGCCCAAAACAAGAGTTGCAATTGAAATGAAATAGATCGACCAAATTAGATAAAACTTATCTATGTATTATGATAATACAAAATAATTATCAATAATTATCTCATTATTTTACAATAATTATAAATTTCTAATCAAGTGATATCTCAAAAAACTGGTGAAGAAATAACAAGTAAACAAAATACAGTTTTTGAAATATAAAAAGGGTAGAAGAGTAGCTACAAGTTAATTTATTTATTCATAATCTTCACAAAGGACCACAACCATCTACGAAAAATAATTGCTTAAGAGCAAAGAGAAAGCATAAAAATATGCATTAATAGAAGAAAAACATGCAGGCATGACATTCTTATCATATGTTGTTTAAGGAGCAAGAACAAGGTCATTCATTCACAATCTCCATTTAGGCCAAGTTGGACACAATTCTCATTCTCAATGGAAAACCAGAAGCTCGCCGTTTTCCTAATGGTCGTCAACAAATACATTCAACATAGAAAAGAAACAAGGATTCTCGTTACAAGTACCAAAAGTCAATATCAATGGTTTCGTAAGACTACTTGACAACATTGGTTCCACTGTTGAGGGAATGGTACCTTAACATTGAGAGGAAAGTAATTTCTAATGTCCTTTTTTTCTCAGATCAAGAATTTGGTAACTGCAAGAAAGTAGCAGCATAACAGAGTATAGCACCTTCCATCTCAGTTTAATCATACTAATAATGTTTGCGGCGATCCTTCTCCCTTGAAGAATAGGACGAGCTGTGGTGTTCTCGATCTGATAAACAGGACATTTTTCTTATTAAATAACTGAATTTGAATAAAAACTTACCAAATAAATAATGAAAAATTTATAAACTTACCTCGAGAATAGTGATGTTTTGATTTCTCGAAACGTCCTGCATAACAAGGTGATCAGAAAAGCAATTATCAATACCATATGAACAAAGAAGAGCAATCAAAAGGAACAACACATGAGGAGTGATAGTATGAAAGAGTGCATGACTGACCAGAGTCTCTTCCTTTTTCCCTAGAACGGTGGCCCCTTTCCTTGACTTTATCTCTGTCCCTTTCAGTTTCCTCCCGTCCCCTTTCCCTGTCAGATTCCCGCCCTTTATCGTGGTCTCTGCTCTTTGTTTTCTCTTTCTCCCTCATTCTCTCCCTATCCCTGTCCCTATCTTTGTCCCTTCCCTTGTTGCTATCACCACCATTCTCTGTTCTATGATCAGACATCAATTTGGACTCTGGATCTTCTCTTGATTCTCCACCAGTAGGCATGCTTTTAGAGTCATCGTCACTCTTCTTCAACTCCTTTAGCTTGTCAAGGTCGGCTTTTACTACTACATCCTTACCCAGTTCCTGATTTACCGCTGAAGAGGAACCTTTTGCACTAGTGCGATCTTCATTTGCGGTAGGTCCAGTCAAGGAACCATCCTGACCCAAAAAAAAAAGAAAAAAAACCAAGGCAAATAGATTTAGTACATACCAAGATATTCCCATCAGAAGCAAGTCCATTATTCCAGATTTCCTTTTAATACAATATTTAAGTAAAATGATGAATTCTTCCCCCATCATCTACTCAATGTGCTGTCGTGGCTATTTGATTGGCAGTTGGCTATTAGAATAGAGGCATAAAGCAAACAGGAATACCAACTCGGGGTTACACATCAAACCGAACCAATTTGGTTAACCAAAGGTACTTACTTTCGGAACAGACTGATGAGGTGAATCCCATGATCGATTAGATGTTGCAAATGAACCCCCTTCCTTGCATNGAAAGCACAATACCCATGTTAGAGCTATAATGTATGTTCAATTAGATGCAACTAATCTGTATCAGCTTCTTAAACTAAACAGATGTTAAAGAACCTAAAACATTGTAAAGAAAAAATTGCAAATGCAAGTTTTCCAAATTTTCAGTTCATCTGGTGGAACGTTAAATGGAACTGTTTCAAATAGAGAAAAACCTTGATTGGTTTGAAAGGTGCATAGGAAGGTTTTTACCTCTTTCCTTTCCACAATTGACTATTTATTTGACGGCGAACCAACAGGTAGCGCACTTGACACTTGACTATATCCCAAATATGTTTTTGAAGTGATTGAATTGTGATGCTGGGATCTTGGGTAGAGATGAGTGATATTTTCGTTGGTAAATTGATGCCCCAAATGGTGAAAGAATCGTCATATGCCCCCAAAGATAGATTGTTATGAGCCATACTTGGCATTTAGGTATCTACTTCAAAAGTAACTTGTTTAAATCTACCTATAGGTGGTAGGGCAGACTGAAAGTTAGGACTTGTTTGATAGGCATGAATTTTTCATGGAAAATGGAATTCAAATTCCAACTTTCACTTTTTGGCTGTTTGATAAGTTTTTTCCCCATGGAATTGATTTTCTCGAAAAGGGGACTTTTCTTGGTTTTCTAGACTACTGATTTTTTATTTTTTATTGATTTATTTTTTTGGGTAATGAAAACAAATTATATCCTTAATTGGAAAAAAATGTTTTCCTTTAATTGACAATTTTTATGTAAAACAAAGACAAACGAACACTAAAACATAGATGATTTTCTTGACTTTTTTTTGCAATGGAAATAAATTATATTCCCAATACTAGTAAATTCTATCCCTTTTTAATTGACAATTTTCATGTAAAACAAAACCAAACGAACACCAAAAAACATTTTTATTTCAACATTTTCCACGTGGAAAATTATATCAATCAAACACAATAATTGACAATTCCCAATATAACAATTTTTAGGCAATTCAATTCCCTGGAATTTGTTTTCTTTCCACCCAAATTTTATCTTTGCAATCAAACGAACCCTTAGAGAAAAACCGACTTTCCTATAAAATCGGTTCTTTTCTCGAGACCGAAATAAAAAGCAGAAGAGAGAACTACATCCACCAAGAAGTCGAAATTTACATGGAACTTGCCTTTCTATCATGATGTTGGACTCAAGTCATATTTTTGCAAGAAATTAATGGTGGACTCAGTACCAATGCCATTATAAACATTATACATATAATCCTGTTTTTTGTAGAATTAGTATAGAAGTAGAAACTCCAAAGAAAATACTGACTGGAAATAAAGAATATTCACTCTGCATAGAAACATGTGAACCTAATACTCAACAGCTCTACAACTACAAACTATGCCTTAGTTGCATTAAATTTGGGCTCCACTACACAATATTTTTTTGCCACTTTTTAGTTCATTGGTACAAATATAAAAAATTCTAAAAGAATAGAGTTTTAACCCGCACAAGCCATGTGCCTTTAGCGTATCGGACCATAAGGTTGTGGTACCTGTAATATTATCCCTTCAGACTAATTAACAACTAATTTGATTTTTGACCGAAATCTAGGAGGGTGGTGAGTGCAATTGAACAAAATTTAGACTTCCAAGATCTGCATGTTCACAATTTCATGTACCCTTCGATATTAATTATATAATGCATGCTACAAGCCAGGAAACAAAATGATTATTCACAGAGATCTAGGCACTATAATCATCTGACAAACATAGCTGTACGTGTATTAGTACACACATATGTAGATGTCTTAAGAGTTGAATGTGCTTGGGTGTATACAGTTTCCATAGTTCAGAAAATTTACCTATCATTTGCAAGATTCCATGCTTCTTGTCTCAGTTCTGTAGGAGTTCCAAGAGTAGCAAGATAATTTGATATAAATTTATGAGGATGCTCGACGTGGCAGATGAAACCCATTTCTTTCAAAAGATGCCTCTCAGTTCTGATCAAATCTGCCTTCAGATCCGCATATTTCTGTTGACAAACAAGAGAAAAGAAATTAACCCAGCTCCTACACCCGCATCCGGTTAGAGGTTACGAAGACTTCAATAGTAAGGAATGTAAGACAACCGATGATTTCACCAGAAAATCAAAAATAGTTATATAATAAACTACAAAACTAATAGCACTAATCCAAAACACAAGATTAAAGTTGAAAGCCAACCTCAAATAACCACCAGTTAATGGAAAACATTTATATAATAAATTAAAAATTAATAGCAATGATCGAGAATGCAAGTTTAAAATAGATATCAACCTTAGAAGACGTGTCCAAATGCTCGATGGATAAGTTTTCCCTTCTACATTCCATCCTGTGAAAAACAAGAAGGACCTGCCTTGCTTTCCTAGGACTTTCTTCTAGTTTTGAAGCAAGCCATACACAACTCGCAGCAACCCTCTGCATGCAAACCAAGTCTGGTACCATGTCAGAAGAGAGTAAAGCTAATGAAATTGTGAGATGCAACTATGTAAAATGGGGGAGGTTAAACAGGGCAAAAAAGGGACCTTCACATTAAATCTAGCAAATGACTTCTTGCAATAGAAACGATGGAATAAGACCTGACCAGTGGCCATCACAGCTTGAGGTCTGTGAAAAGTTTAATTAAGGAGATACAAAGCAATACATTGTAGAAAAAATTAATCAAACATTTTATTACTCATTTTACTCAAGAAAAAGAATTTATAACACTTTCCTGATATATTAGAACCAAATGAAGTATAGCGATTACTGCAACAAATAAGAAGACCAGATCGAAACAAAAATAGAGAAGGATACAATTTCAGCAAAATACCGCTCTCTTGTATGAGATCACAACCATAGATTCTAAGTGTAGTTTCTGTAGCTTCATCTATCCCATCTCTCCTAGAGGGCGAGTTTTGGAGCTGTTCGTCTGTCAGATAAAACGTATCAATTGCTGTGTAAATCATAATTATATCTTCCTCCCAGTGTGAGAAACCTCAATAACTGCCACAAACCAAAAACCCAAGAAAATTGTTAATTGAAGATAGAAAACTCCTATCACAACAAAAATAGGAACATAAAAAGAAAAGAACTGATTTTCAATTTTTACATAATTAGAGCTTTGCATTAGCCAGATAAAAACTGGGGAAATATACATATTACACCATGCATGGGTCTAATTACGGTTTGCAGACTGTCTTTTTAGAAATTACAATTTCCCTACCATGACTACCATCTGTTAGTCCACTATTACGGATATTGTTAAAGTACCCTTGCTATTTAAACGTAATATATTTTCAACAATTATTCATTCTCATTTTAATATTTCATTCTCTATCTTCGATGTCACTTTGGAAAAATGTATAGTAATTAACATCATCTGCTCCATCTTAAATGAATATTGTATCTATCAACGGACAATTGGACGCAGCACACATATAGCGTTAGCTTCCTTCTTCCCCTTCCCCTTCCCCTTCCCCTTCCCCCATCCCCACCCCACATCCCAGCCCATTTCTTACGTTCTCCCCTTTGCCAATAATTTTCCCCCTATCTTCTCCATTTCAACAGTAATCTTTCAATTTTTCTCTTCCCCTGGACGTCTATTATCACAATTTCTTGCAGGTCCATAAGGCTTGCAATTGAAAAAAAAGGAGTGAAAAAAATTAATACAAGTAGTTATCAACTAATCTCTCGGGTAAAAAAAATCTCTAATTGGTTTGTGCAATCATCTGATCCGTTCTCATCGCATTAGTGTATCTATTAATGTTCATTAGCAATGTCACTAAGGGACATATATAGTTATTTTTATTTCCCAAAACTCCCAAGCAGGCCCTTGTCATCTCTACACTATAGGTGGTAGAGTGTGACAATAGTAAATTTCACTTAGGTGGGGTAATCCAGTAATGTGGTCCATTCAAATTACTCATAATGACAGATTTGTTAATTATTCTAGTTCTGCTATCAGAAATTTAGCCGAATAGGAATCTTGTTATTATTTATAAAAATGCAGTATGTGATTTGTAATTTCTAAGGACAGCATGCAAAGTTGTAAATATACTTAAAAGAGAATGAAGAACAATACATTACAAACCAAAAGGCGACGAAAAGATGACCCTGGCAATGAATGTCACAAAATATTGAACATTTATTGTAGAATAAAGGGAGATCAATATCCAACTATATACTCACATGAAACGGTACCAGTTTGACCCAGAAAAGTTCATGAGTTTAGCGTTACAGATTTGGGATGGTAGAGTAGTGGGGAATAATTCCATAAATAATCAGGCGGCACACAAACAACAATTGAAAACCCAAAATTTATCTTTTTCATTACTTTTTCCCCTCAATGTAGACAGCAAAATCATGCACACGTGCAATAACTAAAAACCCAAAATACATCTTTTTCAATGCTTCTTCCCCTCAATGTAGTGTCATGGTTCCCACTGAGGTGTATGAGCACCTGAATCCAACATCGGGAGTATGGGCTTCATTTGCGTGGTTTATATAGGCTTGGGCAGGATCGGTCCTGTGATTGTCAAGCCCCGAGGCGAAGTCCATAAATTAAGCCCCCAAAATCAACATAAATGCAAAATTCAATGATGTGTTGTGCAACCTATTGCTAATTTAAAACTTAATATTAAAATAACAAACAAATATATTATATAGAAGATTTATTTTATAAAATAACAAAACCAACAATGTTTCAAATAATTAACCTAATGCCCAATGATTAATCTAAAAGACAATTAAAAATATCTCAATTATCTCAAAATTAGAGTTTTCAATATAGTTACTACGTGCGTCTGTACAATTAATCATATGATAACCAATCATATAAGCCGACCAGACTGCAATTATATAAGCCGACAAGATTTCAAACATTTCCAATATATTCAATAACATGTTAGGGCGAGCCATTGTTTACCTGAAAAGTAGAATTTCAACGAAAATTATGAAATCACGCCCTTGAGAATTCCACGGACCACCGTCACAACTCACAAGCCTGAAATAAAAATTTAATATCAAACACCAATACAATTACAAATATATAATTCTATTGCATAAACATTTAACTCAATGTGCATCTATCACTCTACTCCATTCCATGTATCAGATATGCTTCTAGACAGACTTCTTATCTTTCTTTCATTCAACTAGTTTCTATTTCCTCTTTCCTCCATGTTTCCAAATAACTATCATGACTTCGATATAATAAATCAAATACTCAAATTTGGTAGTAAATTTGAAACTTGGAATTTCGGTAGTAAAAATTAACAAAATCCCATTTTACAGCATTGTTAATCAACAAATTTATTGTAATTGATATTTGATAGCATAGCATTAAACGAAATAAATAGGAAGGGGGAAAAAAGTTCAAAGAACAAAAAACCAAATTAAAACCCAAAGCACAAAGAGACGCGAGGGGTTCAAACTTCAAACTAACAAGCTCATATCATACTCTTAAGAGATAACTAAAGCAGGCACAATCGCAGAAGTGAATCAAGTGATGTTACTGTCATTCATCAAAAAGACAACTTGAAATCCTCAACCATCTAAATTTTTAAAATAAGGTAATTAAGTTACAAGTAACAACTCATTCGGATGCAGGAAATGCAAGATAAAGAGAATCATACAAACCTTAATTACTCTAATAAATGATTGAATTTTAGAATGTCACAAATCGTGCAAAAACACATATAAACAAATTCCAAAAAGGGCATACAAGATTCATAAATAAAGTGAATTTCTTTAAAGATTCAATATAATTCAGAAAACCAAAAACCCAAGAGAGAAACTGTAAAATTGACCCGTAAATATCATAAAGCCTGTTACCGTGTTGGGTGGCAACTCGAGCGACGGAGGTCACTGGTCACGGAGCGAGCAGCTGTGAGGGCCGGCCGAGCGTTAGGGTTGAAATTGTTTTGTGGTTTGATGAGTGCTCGTGTAATTTATGAAAGAGAGTGGAGATTGGAGAAGAAGACGCCTAAGGAGGAGATGAACTTCAAATGAGGGCTGACGCCGTCACCTCGTCTGCCAGCCTGGTCGTCGTCCGGTTGGAGTTTGAGGCGGGACTCAAGGACTCTGGGAGCAATCGATTCCCCAGTCACCGGTGAATGAGGGAAAAACGATTGGAAGATAGAATTTCCTTTCTCATTTCAATTAATCGAATATTAAAAAAAATAATGGGCCGAGGCCCCTGCAGTTCTGGGCCTGAGGCGCAGGCTCATATGCCTCGCTGCAGGAAGGCTCTCAGTGATGTTATTTCTGCCGGGATTCCCGAAGTTGGGGGGTTAATAAGGGATGGCACGTTGACACTTCTGGTATTTCCATTGATTCTTCCTTCTTTGAGGTATGTTAATGTTAATGTATAAATTTAGGATGTATTCAATTAAAATTTTTGATGAATTTTTGAGATTTAAAAAGTTTAAGAGTATTTAATGTAGACTTTTTAAAATTTTCTAAAAGTATTGATATATTTAATTAAGATTTTTACAGACCTTTGAAAAATCTCTCAAAATCACGATATATTCAATTGAGATTTTTATAGACTTTTAAAAAATCTTTAAAAATTACAGTATATTCAATTTAAACATTTTAGAAATCTCTATAAGTTTTGGGTTATTCAAATTTTAATAACTTTTAAAAAAATTTATAAAAGTCTCTAGAGTACAGCTTTTAAGCAAAAATTACTCATATAAAATTTCAAAATTTGTTTTTCATTAATCACTAGATTTTGGGAGACTTTCACAATTTTTATTTTTTTTTCAATCTTTCTTTCATTTTTCCTTCTACGAACATTTGAGGTATGATTAAAATTTATTTTTTTTGCATAGATTTCCATTTATCGTTCTCTCTCTTATTGTTTATCTCTATTTTCTATGAAAAAATTAAATTAGATTCTTGTAACTTTTTTTCCATTCATTTTTTTTTTTTGTGAAAAATATTTTTTTATCAAATTATAAGATTTTATATAATAAATTTATAATCAAATTTAAATATATTGATTTTTATTTATTTTCAAATTATATTACAAATTTATTGTTTATCATATACATGTATAATTTGGATTATTATTTATTTAAGGTTTCAAATTTTGGTTCTTTTAATTTTTTTTTTAATTATATTAGAAGAAGAAGGGAAGGGAAAATGAAAATTGTGGGAACCAACGTCTTATACGTGAGAATTTCACACCATTATACTAAATTCAGGTGAATTCTATATCAATGAAAGTCTTCAAAAATCTTTCAAATTCTACAAAAGTCTATAAAAACTTTACAATGAAAGTCACTGCGATTAATTACATGCAAGTCTATAAATGATTCACAAAATCTATAAAAGTCCTCACTTGAATACATCCCCCTTACTCATCTAACATATTTCTTCTGCAGGTATTAATTTTTCTCAGATTTTTGAATATTGGCTGAGCTTTTTGATGATTTGTTAATGCATTACTCTTAAAGTTTGACCCAAAGCCATTTTTTTAACTTTTTGAATTTATAAATTCAAGAAACAGGACTTGGTGCTTCCACTTATTTATTTTTACTTTGTTGCATTTTGCTCATTGTCAAAATCAAAGATCTAGCAAATATTGTTGCTTCTGCTCCTCTGTCATATGGAGACCTTTGCTTTGAGATCTGAACTTAAACTCAATGGTCATATGTCTGACCATAGTTCTCCAGATGCAAGCCAAAATAAGAAGAGTAATATCGGCCCTAATTCTTATTGTTATGTGTTGACACCCTTGACTAACCTCCTGGGGCCCATGGCCCACTTATATCGAACCACGTGGCATCTTATCTGAGGCCCCCAGGACAACAAGAGTATACTAGCATACTGTAACCACGCCCATGTCGTGGCCCAAGTGCTGATGCCGAAGTAAATATACAATGTAGTCTTCTAGCTGAGGCCCATCACTCTGAGGCCCCATCTTATCTGAGGCCCTGATGCTCTGAGCGGCACTCCTCTCCAGAGATTCGATCTTACACAAGGATCCTTCATGATAGATTGATGGGACACCCATCATAGAGTGCAAGTGTCTTGTCTTGTCAATGAAGTGGCGGAGCCGCCGACTAATAAATGTGTAGCGGGCTAGAAAGTCAAATGTGATACTTATAATTTGACATGTAAACTTACGAGATGAGGCCACGTGCACTCCCAACCAAGGGCCACGATCTAAGTTGTAATACTATAAATACTCTTCTTTACATTTTACTCTCTTGCAACACACATGAATTCATACTCGCATTCTACAAACATCTATTGGTAGTTATTGTACAATCGTTATGCAAATATCTCGTCGAATTCCGAAAGTTCTCGTCCCGCGTGTGCGCGGGTGGGTCCAGATCTATTGGCAACATATTCTAGGGTCAATAGATTGACGCCTTCAGTGGGAATCCATACTATAACCGCGAGCAACCGTATGAAGAAAGCTTATTGAAAAGAACATTTGGGCATCCCCCTTGAGAAAGGATTTGTTCTTAGAAAAGAACAGATGGAAACCCCATGACTTAGCAACAATTTGAAGTTGGAAGAGAAGAGAATGAGTTCAGACGAGAATGAACCCCCTAGGAAGGTAAGAGAAAATGTGGGAATGTCCCCACCGGCAGCTACCTCTGTAGCCCGACATCGACCTCACCACCACCACAGAAGAGGTGGCATACGAATGGCCACCCAGCTGTCGAGAGAGATGGCCACCATGGCCGCAAACATGAAGAACATTACTAGCCAAAACATGGCCATGACAGAACTCATGGTCTAAATGCAGAGCTAGGGAGGCTTCCTCATTCCTCCCTATGCACCCCAAGAACATTACGATCAAGATGAGGAAGTTCAAAGCCAAAAGGCTGTACAGCCAGAATACAGCCGAGGCATGAGCCCCATGGAGAGGGAAGTAGAAGTTGATGTTTCGTCCAATTATCCTGTTGGCCGACCCACCGAGGCCCAGCATAACCAGGACAATTTTCCTCCAGCATATGAACCAGAATAAAGACCTAGGAGGTCTAACAGCGTCTTTGACAGAATTAGCCCCGCAAAATCGAGGCACAGGCAACAACAACAACAACGCGAGCCTCGGAATAGACCACAGCCCCCACCTCTAATGTCTCATCAGCCGGAGGCAAGGCATGAGAATGCCCCCCGTGTTACTCTGCCTAGAAATAGGAGCCAAAGGAAGAAAAGGCTAGGACCCAAGCCGGACCCTCTCATCAACTACCCAAGTATGAAGCCGGGGAAAATAATGACTCAGATGATCAGCAAAGGTCCTATGACTTAGAGACCGACGATGAAAATTTTCTCATTCTCAAGGGAACTAAGAAGTGCCCAGGTTCCAAGCCACTATGTGATGCCCAAAAATACCAAAGTATTATGGGAAAGGCGACCCGGAGAATCACCTAAGCGCTTATAAAACTCATATGAGCCTTAGAGGCGCCACCCCAGCTGTGAAGTGTAGAGCTTTTGATTTAACACTTAGTGGAGCGGTTGAAATTTGTATAGTTGACTGCCACCTGGGAGCATAAGGAGTTAACCAGAATTCAAGAACACTTTCCTAAAAAGATTTGTGGTGAGCAAAGAGGGAGAAGCCCCTATCCAGCGCCTTCAAGACATGAGGCAAGAGCATGGAGAATCCGTAAAAAACTTTTTATCACTCTTTACCTACGAAATGATATACTGCGCGCAAGTCACCGTTCGTGAGGCTTTATTAGCCTTAAGAGGAGGTCTGAACACAAATACCCAGTTTTGGAGAGACGTGCAAAACCAAGATCCCACCACCTATAACGCCCTATTGGAAATGATGAGCTGGGAGATTATCAATGAGGAATTTATTGAACACCAAAATCGGGCCAGCAAAGGCCTCCCACCTCAACAGAGACAGCGCGCCAAAGGACCGACCTCCCACTTGATGGACTACCAGATGAACCCACCTGGTAATGGAAATTCAGGGCAAGCACTTGCCACAACCACCTTGAACGCAGTTCCAACTTTGGCATATGAAGATGTTAATCCAACTACTACCGACCCACAAGCAGGAACTTCACAACAGGCCCCCCATAGAGGAAGAGGTCGGGGGCGCGGTTCAGGACCTAGGGATAGGCCTAATCAGAACCCTCCGATTGTTGTACGTACCACCGCTCCTATGATCATGACACGTTCGAGTGTCGGGAGTACGCATATCGCAACACCCCAAAATAGGAAGAATGAGTCGCCACAAGCGAAGAGGCCCCTGTCTAGGAATGACCAGCGACCTAGGCGTGAGGAGGCTACTCCCCACCAGCGAGATGTATCCCCCCGTCGAAGGGAACATGGCGCGAAGAGACCCAGGGAAGGACACAGGCATCTTGGAAACCGCCATGCACAAGAAGTGGCTCCTATTCACGAGATAGATACCATATTTGGAGGCCTCTACGTGGGAGGGAAAACTATGCCCGAGAGGCTAAACGCCTCTCGCTAACCAGTTATATCGTGGATAGCAGCTCCCGAAGAAACCAAGTACCGTCCATCGTCTTCACCCAAGAGGACTCTAAAGAGATTCACTACCCTCATTGTAATGCACTTGTGATAAGGGCCGTTGTGGCCCGAAATGGACTCAAACAAATGCTAATAGACAATGGCAGCTCTGTTAACATCCTGTTCGGGTCCACCTTTGATAAGATGATCCTAGACCACGAGCTGACGCCCACCACCACTCCTCTATACGGATTTACTGGAGATAGTATCACTTCGAGAGGAAAAATAACGTTGGCGGTAGAGATGGGAGAGTCCCCCTAAACCACCATGAACTTCATAGAATTCCTTATTGTAGACAATCGATCAACTTACCACGGAGTCTTGAGTAGACCAGCCCTGAAAGAGTAAGGAGCTGTCACCTCCATCCACCACTTATGCATGAAACTCCCAACTGAGAACGGGGTGATAAGAGTAAGAGGCGACCAAAAAAGATCCAGAGAATGCTACCTGAGCTCCATCAGAAAGGTTGAGCCTCGATACGTACATGCCATCCTGACTGATGTAGATATGGCAAACGTCCCAAGTGAGGCCCCTCCTGAACGAGAGGATGTTGACATGATTTACGCACCTCCTGAGTAGGAACAACTCTCCATGATCGATGAGGTCAATTCCCATGTGATTGAGTACAAACCCCAAACAACTTCGGCTGAGGAACTAGAAAACTTCTCGGTTAACCCCCGTGACCGGATGAAGGTGTTGAAAGTAGGCATAGGCCTAGGCAA